GTGTCAGAGAGACGAAACATGTAGAGTCACACAGAGAAGTCCAGACTCAACCCAAATCATTTAGTTGTGATGATTGTGGTAAAAGATTTACTGTAAAATCAAGATTTAAAAAACACATGAGAGTCCACACAGGACTGAAACCGTTTGTATGTGAGGACTGTGGATATAGATTTAGCCAGAAGGCTCATCTAAACAGACACATGAGAGTCCACACAGGAGAGAAACCATTTCTATGTGAGGACTGTGGACAAAGATTTAGTGCGAACAGTAGTTTAAACTTACACATGAAAGTCCACACAGGAGAGAAACCATTTGAATGTCAGGACTGTGGACATAGATTTAGAGACAAGAGTAGTTTAAACAGACACTTAAAAGTCCACACAGGACAGAAACCGTTTGTATGTGAGTACTGTGGACAAAGATTTAGCGAGAACAATGGTTTAAACACACACATGAGAGCCCACACAGGACAGAAACCTTTTGTATGTGAGGACTGTGGACATAGATTTAGCTGGAAGAGTCGTTTAAACTCACACATGAGAGTCCACACRGGAGAGAAACCATTTGTATGTGAGGACTGTGGACAAAGATTTACCCAGAAGGGCACTTTAAACTCACACATGAGAGTCCACACAGGAGAGAAACCATTTGTATGTGAGGACTGTGGACAAAGATTTAGCCAGAAGAATAGTTTAAATTCACACGTGAGAGTTCACACAGGAGAGAAACCATTTGAATGTGAGGACTGTGGATATAGACTTAGCGAGAACAGTAGTTTAAACTCTCACATGAGAGTCCACACAGGAGAGAAACCATTTGTATGTGAGRATTGTGAACAAAGATTTAGCCAGAAAGCTAATTTAAACAGACACATGAGAATCCACACAGGAGAGAAACCATTTGWATGTGAGGACTGTGGACAAAGATTTAACCAGAAGAGTAATTTAAACTCTCACATGAGAGTCCACACAGGAGATTAACCATTTGAATGGTTAATGACCGTGACACACTATGATAATTCAGATAACTTATGTTGAAATCTGCGAATTCTGTCCAACACTGAAGAAAATTTATAAAAGCATCAAATAGCACCTTCATTCGGACGTGATCATACAGCGTTGCTAACAACTGAAAATGATATAAAACCCAGAAGTTATTATCCCTACCTTAAACAAAACGTGTCCAAGCTTATTCTAACATGTTTGGACCTCTGCAGCACGTATGTGCAACATTAGTGGAACTTCTGCAGAACCTCTGCGCAGCTTGTTGGAGGAAATTGTGACGTCAGCAGCAGACACACAGTGACCCTTAGCATCAACTTATGAAAAACACCACAACACGTTGATGGAAGCTAGGTGTAATTTTAGGATAACTTACTAACACATTAATATAAGAGGCACTACTTTGTCATATGGAGATCCCAGCACAGAATTTTGAACAAGCTCAAAACGTTCAATGTATGTAGAACTGTTTGAGGCATGTTTCAGGTCTGTTAAATGCAGGCTCTTTCAGAAGAACGTACCTCTGAATCCAACAGGCCATTCCGTGTTGACGCTTCCCCTGGCAGTTCAGAGACACAGACGGAGACGCTCTCTAACCGCGCTGAAACATGCTTTCAGTGAACATTAGGACTGAAAGAGGCGAGGACAAAAACACTGCTCTTCTCACGTGCTGCTATTATTCTGCTTTCCAGTTGTATCGGAACTTGAAATTCTGAAACCAGACTGATGTTGTAGGGATCTGTGTCTTGTCTGGTGTTCTGCCTCCCTCTTGTGTTCTCTTTGTGTCATTACTCATCTCTCCTCAGTCTGTGATTTGTCACTCTCCTGTTAACCATACTCACCCATCAGTTGTTTGTGATCAGTAATATCCTCAGCTGTTGCTCATCATCCTCTTTCCTTCTGTATAAGTTCTGATTCATTCTCTTCATTCCTGGCTCGTTCCTTGTATGGCTTCGTCCATCTGTTTCGTGTCCTTGTGTTCATCCGGGTCTCCTTGTGTTTTAGTTTGTTTGCTGCCCCGTCATCTCTTTGTTTTGTTTTAAAAAATATTTTTGTTGTTACTCTTACCTCCGTCCGGACCTGGGTTCATTCTTGCGTCAAACATAACAGAATGAACCAGCTGCAGAGACCCGGTCCACTGCGGCAATAACAGGATCATCAGCTGCGTGTGATCTGGAACAAATGGGATGGTTGTTTTGCCTCAATTTGATCAGTCGCTGCAAAGCGCCTGAAGCACGCCAGATC